CATAGCTTTGTAATTTATTACTTATGTTAAATAGAATTATGCTAGTGCCTAATCTAATCTTAAGAACATTCCTAGGCCCTTAGCTATTTAGTAGCATTGCAATTATGTTATCTAGCTACTTACGCATCTCTGCCTTATTTATGTTACTGCTGTTGTACATAGACGTCTATCTAATAAAGTTGCATCTAATAGTTTTAGGTTAAACATTATAGATTAGTAAATAAATCTTAGAATTAAACTGCTTCTTTTATATGTTAATATGCTGTAATTTATTACTGTTACTAGCGTGCTTATTAGCTAGTAAATTACCTTTATAGATTATAATAAAGCTAGTAAGTCTAGCTTTGTTACTATTATGTTGTTGCAGCACAGCTACTGCGTTACTTACAGATCTATAGCTACAGAGGACATGCTTAATCTCTTCTAGCTTAATGTAATGTCCTTAGATTTTAATTTGTCTATCTATGCAGCTAAAGAACTCTAACTAACTATCTATAGAGCGATGGCAGACGTAGTCGCCTGTGCGATAAGCCTTAACAGTCTAGCTAGTAACTATAACTGTAACAAAGCAATTAATGTCTAGCTAAGGATTAGTGTATCCCTAGGCTACACTATTACCTGTAACAACAAGCTCTTTAATAACCCTAAGTAGTATAAGTTATAGGCTTAAATCTATAACATAAGCACTAGAGTTACTAAGTGCGTAGCTAACAGGAATACTATTAGAGCAATTTTTATTCTTGTATAGAATAAAAGTTGTGCTAAATGTTATATTCTTAGTAAGTCTATATTTATTAATAAACTTACTTATTAGGAACTTTTTTACTACTAAAAAGTTATGTAGATAAAGTGCTTTACCTTCTACATAAAGCATCTTAAGTATAGCAAGCACTGCTAGAGATTCTAAAACATAGTGCCTTAACAAAGATAGTGTTAGGAAAGCTGTGCAGACGTAGTACTGCTAGAAGGTACGTAGAACATCCTTAAGGCCTAGCACTGCTGTTGCGTTAAGGTAAACTAATGTGCTACTATTTAAAAGACAGGCATATATCTCCTAAGTAGAGCTGTTAAAGCTAAGGTTTACTATATATGCTATTACTAGCAAAGCTAAAAGGTGCTGCACTAGGTTGTTATCTCTTACTAAGCGCATAATGCTGTAGTGTTCTACTATAACTCTCTTTAGCTAGCCTGTAGATCCTAAGGTAAACATAACATAGGTAAGGCTAGTTGCTAGCAGCCTAATAACTTTAGTACCTATAGATATTTTTAACATATTATAAGCCTAATTATCTAGGGTGTTTGTAATCTATACAAACTTAACGTTACTAAGCTTTAAGTTAAAAGGCTAGATATTAGCCCTAATAAAAATAATTTTATAACTTAAAAGTAAAAAAATAATAGCTTCTATCTACTTCTCTAAGATCTTAATGTTAAACAGTAAGTATACTAGATAGGCCTTAAAGATGCCTAGGAACGCAATAATAGTCTAACAGCTTTAACTTGCATACACGCCTACTAGACTCTTAGAAGCAAACATCTGCTTTACTAGCTACTAAGTAAGAAAGTTAGACACTTTATTAAGCTAAGCATAAGTTATCTCTATTAAAGCATTTTTTATAGCAATTCTTAACAGATAGGCAGAAGCTTACTAGTAAAAGAGGTTAATAATGCTTAACTTACGCAGGTAGGTAGTCTCTTTAATGTAAATAAAGCTTATTACATTAAGCTTGTAATAATTAGTGTTAGTTAGTAGTAGAATAGAAGCAACTACTACCTTTAGCTTCTTAAGACATGCCTTAAAAATGTTAGAATAAAGTAATAGCATGTTATTAATTGTCTTAGCAGCATAAAGGTTAGTTAAGTAAAAGACACTACCCTATAGTCTGTCTAGATGCTAGAAGAAGTAGAACTTAAGATTAAACCTAGAGGTTATTGTAGTGTATAATCCTTCTATTTCTACACTAGCTAGTGTTAGCTGTCCTAAGTTTTGCTAGAAGTGTATAGTAAAAAAAAGTTAGATAATTAGGTAATAAAATAAGTCTCTATCTTACTTAAGCTAAAAAATAATGCACTTAAATAAAACATCTTAGTTTATAAGAGAAGTAACTGCTATAGCCTAAACTTATTAGACAAGCTCTTTAAAGAATTTCTTTTTAACTATAATCTAGAGGCACTGTATATTAATAAAAAATCTAATTATATTTTTTAGCTACTAGTAATCTTAATTAGCATTTACTATGCTAATAGTTGCATCTTTTTATCTAGTAAGTTAGAAGTGTGTAGTCTAGAAAGCAGTAAGAAGGACTATAAATAGTGTAACTTTATAAACTTTATAGAACTGTACTAGTTTTACATGTAGAAAGCTGCTAATTTTTAATGTCTAAATATTAGCCTTACTAGACAACATAGCAGGTCTTAGCTTGTTATAAAGAAGCTCTGCTAGTTAGCTTATCTATAGCTGCGTAAGCTAGTAGCTAAGCTGCCTGTAGTGCTAATCTACCTAAGCTTGCTGCTTTTACTAAACAGAAAAGTTATAGTACTAAATAAACAATAGTTGTACTTAAAAAAGCAGATTCTGTTTATTAATTACAGCTAAGTAAAATGTAGGTAGTTTACGCATAAGCACATTAACAGACTAGCTGTCTAACATAATATAATGCATAATAATAGATAACATATAATTATTATTTTTAACTTAGTAGACTAATACTCTCTATCTAGGCTTAGTTTAGAGATTAAATAGTGTTCTCTAGTCCTGCTACACAGCATCTATAAGTCTCTGTTTATTACCTAGTAGAATATTAATAATGTTTAATCTCTTTGCGTAGAACAGTTAAACTATTTGCACACTTTTATTACTAATAGTAGTAAAAGTTGTTTAAAGAGTTTTATAGCAATTTTTAATAAAAAAAATTATAAAGTTAAGCGCTTTAAGCTAGAAAAAGCCCCTAACATGTACTATAAGAGGCATAAGATACTAATTTAGGCTAGAGTGTAGTTCTTTTAAGAACTATAGCTAGCCTTACGTAAATAATTACTTAACAGGGCTAACATAATTAATGTTTATAATAGCAGTAGAAGAGTTGTAGGCTAGTTTAATAGTAGTAGAGGTTAGCTAGTCTAGCTATAGATTTTAAAAGATGTCTATAACACTAAGCTGTATTCTTATCCTTTAGGCCTTACTAATAAGCTTTATAGTAATAATAGAGTTACTACTAAGCTAAAAGAAGTTATTGTCTAGTCTAATGCTCTCTAGCATAATATGTAGCGCTTGCGCCTACAGCTTCTACATTATTCTCTCTACTACTAACATTTTTTACTAATTTACAGGCTTTTAACTAACGGCCTGTTATTATTATAGTTACTTTAGTGTTTTATAGTTAACTTTACTATTCTAATTAACTAGCATTGCGTCTAAGATAGTAATTGTGTGAGGAACTATGTAGAGAGAAAGCTAGCCTTAAAGCATCTTGTGTAACTAGTGTTTAGTATTCTGCAGAAACTAATACTGCAACAGCTTACTACTAAGACTGT